TTCAATTTTTATTCATGTGGGGGATTGTTGGGAAAATAATGGTTTTTTGGTGACTTTAATGCAATATTAAAGTGAGTTCCAATTCTCAATTGAGATGGAGTAAAGTGGGTTTAGATTCTTTGTAATGAAATCTTTACATAAAAAAAAAAATCACCAAAAACTAAACTATGATACACAAAAGGCTGAAGGTGAACAATGTATTTTACACACGAATTAAATCCTTGAATGGGTTACTTCAAAATTACGTGAAAATGTTCATGTTCTTATTCAGTTGTATGATGACAACAGTATCAAGGTGTAAGATATTTAGAGTAAATTACAATCCCAAAGTCAAAAATATGCAGTCTCCATATCCATAACCAGCAAGAATAGCTAATACACAAGCAATCAAATACCAGAAACTTTGATATATAAAAAACATAAGCAGAAATGCGACTAAATAGAATATCTCTGAATGCAAGTAAAGACATCAAAAGCTAACAGAAACCATAAAAGGGATATCCATGGCTACTGATTCATTTGTTTTCCCACAAAACCGATGGCACATCACTTTCGGCCTTCTCCAATGTTGGTTTCATCACAAAAACAATAACAGTAAAAAGAAAATTGCTTGTGGGAACAAAACCAGAACAATAGACTCCGGACTAAGTTATGCACTGTGACAGCAAAACGGTTGAGTAAAAAAGCTTTGTTTTCAAAACAAAACGAACCTTATGCTAAAGCCCATATATGATGACAAACACAAACACCTAAATTGCAGCTGACAATATCAGAATTTTACAAAATTGAAATTACTGAGTTTTTTTTTTTACCTAAGCGAGGTGTCTTTTAGAGCTATTTCTCTGACACAAGTCCTTTTCAAGGTATTTAGCAAAAGTGAGTTGTTTCTCGGAGTCGTGGGTTCGCAACACGACTTTAATGAAATTGCGATTTCAAATTAACACAATTTCACAAAACAAGTTTGATAATGATAAATAAGTTCAAAAGTACTTGAGACTGGTAAATATGATTTAAAATAACATGCATATGGTAAAAGAAGAAAAAAAAAAAAACCTCTTCAAATGCTCAGCAAGACCGGTAGTCTGATAGCGTTCTTGCAAAAAATCCCAGATGGCCTTGGCTGGAGAGGAAGCAGACTCAAGTTGGAACCTACCAAACTGAAGGCTGATGGATGTAATAGAAGTATTGCGAAGCCAGGTGATGATCTGATAGTTTTTACTATCCCAATCTTCTAGTCGGTCGATATATTTGGCAGCGGAGTCCGTTTATAGTGTAAGCAGCAGTGAGAGCGGCTTCTCCCCAAAAATTTTCTGGACAAGAGGAAGAGAGAATGAGGGCTCGAGTAGTGTCAAGTAGATGCCGATGTTTTCGTTCAGCACGGCCATTTTGTTGGGACGTACCTGGACAGGAACGATGAGGTTGAGTACCATGACTCCTAAGGAAGGAAAGAAAGTCAAAATCTTTATATTCCATGGCATTGTCGGAGCGAAAAATCTTGATAGTTTTAGAAAATTGGGTTTTAACCATTGCAGCAAAATTGTAATAAAGTTGTTTGAGTTCAGAGCGATTTTTCATAAGAAACAACCATGTAAAACGAGAAAAATCATCTATAAAAACAACAAAATAACGTGCGCCTCCCATAGTAGGAGTAGGAGAGGGTCCCCAAATATCAGAATGAATGAGATCAAAGGGCGCAAGAGAAACAGAATCACTTTTATTAAACGACAAAGCAGGTTGTTTTGCAAGTTGACAGGACACACAATTGAAAGCATCAGAACTTACAGTACCCAAATGACCACTAGAAATTAAAGACTTCAAACGACCAACAGAAAGATGGCCCAAACGATAGTGCCAAAGCTGAAAATGAGATAAAGGAGGAGCAGTGGTAGTAGTGGTAGGAGCAGTGATTTGAGAGGAATCCGGAACATGAAGATGGATAAGTTCGTAGAGACGTCCTTGCTTACGGCCTATCCCAAGAGTTTGCCTGGTCCGAGGGTCCTGCACCAAACAACCAGTATGGGAAAAGGTTACAGTTAGACCATGCTCACATAATTGACTAATGGAGATAAGATTTAAAGTGAGAGCAGGCATAAGATATACATGGGATAAAGATAAGTGAGAGGTGGAAACAGACCCAACATGACTTACAGACAGAAGAGACCCATCAGCAGTATGGATAGAAGGAACATGAGGAGTCGAAGAGAGAGGAGTAAAAATAGTAGGATCAAAGGTCATGTGATTACAACAAGCGGAGTCAAAGTACCAGGAAGTGTTACCTGCGGTGGTAGACAAAGCAGTAGATGGAGGAGTACCGGAATGCTGCCAAAAATGTTGAAACATGGCTTCAACATCGGTATGAGAGAAGACCGGAGTGGAAGGATCTACAGGGACAGAAGAAGGTGAATCTTCGGAGGCGGCAGCAGCAGTGCGTGGAGCAGGCATGTTTTTAAATGGAGTCCCAGAACGGTGAGAGTTGCTGCGGGAAAAATTCCCGGTGGAATGACCATGGCGAGAGGCACGGGTAGGATTGCGGAAGCAATCTTGTTGGAGATGACCGGGGCCAGTCTTGTTGCAAAATCGACAAAGACGAACGGGACAATGAACCAGAAGATGAGTCGATGGAAGATTGCGGTTGTGACAATAGTTGCAGGTAGTGGACCGCTGTGGTGAAGGAGAACTCCGAATCTGGGGAGTAGCAAGAACAGAGTCCACAGGGTGTGGATGGAGAGTACCAAACCTGGTTTCCTCGGACAGGAGTGCTTGCTCAAGAGTGGGTAAAGGAGTGCGATGTAGGAGAGATGCGCGGAAGGGCTCAAAACGAGGAGTGAGAGTCATGAGAAACTGAACCAAGCGTTGTTGGTCACGGTAGGTAGTAAACAAGGCAGCATCCTCAGTATGAGGCCATGGAGGCTCAGAAAGAGCGAGTTGATCCCAAACATAATACATTTGGGAGAGGAAATCATTAATGGTCTGAGTGTTTTCTTGGCGCATACGGTGAAGATGACTCAGAAGCTGATATTGGTGAGCAAGACCGGTAGTCTGATAGCGTTCTTGCAAAAAATCCCAGATGGCCTTGGTTGGAGAGGAAGCAGACTCAAGTTGGAACTTACCAAACTGAAAGCTGATGGATGTAATAGAAGTATTGCGAAGCCAGGTGATGATCTGATAGTTTTTACTATCCCAATCTTCTAGTCGGTCGATATATTTGGCAGTGGAGTCCGTGGCAGTGGATTCCGTGGTTGCTGGGACTGGTTTGCACACATCCCCAGTAATGATACGCCAAAGTTTCTTGCCTTTGAGGAAGCCAGACATGGCTTGTGCCCAAAGGACATAATTAGTCCCGTCAAGAATAACGGAAATAGGGTGAGTAGAGGAATCCGGGCGATCCATGAGGGAAAAATAGCACAATGGAGGTAGAATCTGAAAAAACCGAGGTTACCAGTAAATTCAGAAGGCTGAAATTAGTGGGAAAAGGAGTGAAACGGCCCAAAATATGACCACAGAGGCACAGAAATGAGAGACAAAGAGCGCGGCGCACGTTAGCAAGAAAGGGCGCGGCGCACGTTAGCAAAACAGGCCAGGCAGTGCACGGTAGCAGAGAGGGCTGACGTGTGCTGACGTCAGAAACACGCGGCGCACGTTAGCAAGGTAGTGCGCGGTGCACATTAGCACGGAACAGTGTGGAGGACGCGTGGAGCGCGTGTGAGGCGGAAGGCGGAGGCAGGCGACGCGCCGTTCACAGAAGTGGCGCGTGAGAGCGCGTGTAACGTCGAATTGGGCTGAAATTGGTGGCGTTGGAATCGTCCGGAGGATACGAAGGCTCTGGTGTGGTGAAAACTGTATTTCAGAGATGGACGAAAAAGGGATACAGATGAAATGCAATCTGCAGAAAAAAATATGTTGGAAGAAGAGGCTAGGCAGAAAATCTGTGCTCTGATACCATATAAGAAATTGAGAGAGATTGAGAGAGCAAATATTAGCTCTATGTTTTTGATGTATATTGCAACCAAATGGAACCTCCATTATATAGGAGATGTTTTACAAGACAAAATGATGAACAAAGGAAATATACAAATGAAAGGCAACCGAAAGATAGCTGAAAGCAAAAGGAAAAGAAGGTGTCTATCTGTGCTAGGCTAGCAACAACTATCTATACAGATATTTAATATAATCTATTAAATATACTATCTACTATTAGCAGCTGTAGATCTATACAGATTAATATAGTATTAACTTATAACATATTAGAGGTATAGTATTAACACATACTACTAATAAAATTATAAACGAAACGTATACGTGAATTAAAAGCTTAAGAGAATTATTTTATGTCAAACTTAAAGATTAATTCATGTTAGTGTAATTTACCCTTAATATTTTACCAAGAAAGAACAATGTTGTAAAGGTAGCTATTCAGTAATTCTGAAATATAGATATATGATATTTTATAATATTATTTGTAATAATAAAAGTGAGTAAGTGAGATATTATGTTAAATAATTAAAAAATATATTAAATAATAATTGATTAAAAATTACAAACACATCATATTTTAAAAATATTGAATAATTTCCCGTTGAAGAGGCAATAGAAGAAAGTCACCATGCATGATATCAGATTCCAATGGGATGGGATTGGGATATAAATGGCAACTCACAGGATACCCCCCAAAATAAAAAAAAATAAAATAAAACCAGAGTACACACACTGACTTCAAAATCCACCGCCAGTAGCACAACACAACACAACACAACAAACGCGCGCGCGCGCGCGCACACACATTTTTTTTTTTTTTTTACTTTTTTAATACATTAGTACTATTAGTGATGATATTTTTAGTGGGATGAATCATTGTTGTTACAAACACGTCATATTTTAAAAATATTGAATAATTTCCCGTCGAAGAGGCAATAGAAGAAAGTCACCATGCATGTTATCAGATTCCAATGGGATGGGATTGGGATATAAATGGCAACTCACAGGATACCCCCCAAAATAAAAAAAATAAAAAAAAACCAGAGTACACACACTGACTTCAAAATCCACCGCCAGTAGCACAACACAACACAACACAACAAACGCGCGCGCGCGCGCGCACACACACACACATCCTAAAACATTCCTGTTTTCTTAATTTCCAGACTTGCAGTGTCTCTGCAAACTTTGTTATAATAACAACAACCTAAATATGATGATGGATGGAGGTGAATACTCGGCGGACTACTTAAGTAGGTCGAACTCGGTCTCCAAGAAGAAGAGGAACAAGAACCAAAATAATTTTCAGCGATGACCAGATCAGATCATTGGAGACCATGTTTGAGTCAGAGTCTAAGTTGGAGCCACGGAAGAAGATGCAGGTGGCTAGAGAGCTTGGGTTGCAGCCAAGACAAGTTGGGATATGGTTTCAGAACAAAAGGGCTCGCTGGAAATCCAAGCAGCTCGAGCGGGACTACAGCGTTCTACGAGCTGATTACACTACCCTGGTTTCCCAGTTCGAAGCCTTGAAGAAAGAGAAGCAGGCTTTAGTATTACAGGTACTTACTTGCTTCCAAACCTTCCTTTTTTTTTTTTAATTTTTAATTTTTAATTTTTTTTGGATTAAGGAAAGAACTGAAATCACAATTTATCCCGCTGTTTCTCTGATCCTATATTTTGTATCCTACTCAGTGCGGAATTTTTTGCCCCAATAACAAGACGCCGCTCAATTTTACCACCTCGCATCTTCCCATCCTGATTATATTTATTAATTAAATATTTTGTATGTATATATAATTTAATTTAATTTGTTAAACATACTAAGAATAAATAACAATATATCCGTGTAATTTTTATTTTTCATATCTTTATCTCTTAAATTAACTTTTTTTTTTTTTTATAACTATTATCATTTATCAATTATTGTCTCTCGTTTGTTATATCATCTCTCTCATTATTACCGAGTGAAAAATTATCTCGGCATCTCACTGTTATTTGTTCTGGTCTGCCTTCTTCTCAATTTTCCTTTTATTGTCACCACCTTGACAAGGAAGAAGGAAGCAGGGATAGGACACCACAAACTCGCCACTATTCTACCTTGTTGCAATTGTGCCTAAGGATTCTGTTCTCAAATAATCCTATCTCTGTTTCAAATCACTCATAATCATTAGATATGTTTTGAGATTTTCACATCTTGAATTCTTATATGATTTAATGATTGTGAATAATTTGAAACAAAGAAATAAGATTATTTGGAGATAAAGAATCTTTGTTGCGCAAATGTTACTATGTCTTAAATTCAATCCAATTATGCTTACTATTCATTTGTAATTTGTCAAGGCAGGACACGACCCCACAAGCCCACCCTTGCTCTTTCCTCGATTTTCCTTGCCTTGTCCCACCTTGACAAAGACCGGGACAAGGACATGACATCACAAACTCACCACTATCCCATTTTGTTGCCATTCCTACCGTGTCTAAAATTCAATCCAATTATGCTTACTATCCACTGGTAATTTTGTGGAGACGGGCAAGACAATACAAGCCCGTCCCCACATAGTTGCAATTTCTGCAATTTCTACTGTCTTAAATTCATTCTAATTGACCCACATAGACTAATTACTAGTACGCCGTGGTATTTATATTTAGACAGATTTTGACCCCATTTGATATCATTTGACTCGTTATATACATATTAACTTATTTTCGAGTCCTAAATTTGCGTGGTATTAAGAACTTCTCTAACAGAAAGCCGTAATTGAGAGAACCAACTCAGGCTTATAGCTTAAGAGCATAAATTTTTGGGTTCTTGTGTGTTTATTTTGTTTAATCGATCCTCAATTTCTGATATTTCCATAACACAAGCTTATCAATACTCTCTTATTGACAGTTGCAGAAGTTGAATGACCTGATGCAAAAGTCCCGGCCAGAGGACAACCTGGGTTGCAGGCAAGGAGTACCAGAGAATAACAGCATTGGGGACCGATTGGACAGTGGAGAAGATTTCAAGACTGAATTTGCAGTGAAACCCAGCCTGTCGATGGAAGATGACGACAATAGCAACATAGAGGCCAAGTACTTTGGGATTGATGAAGAACCAGAACTTCTAAACATGGCGGAAGTAGAACCAGCAGATAGCTCCTTGACATCACCGGAAAATTGGGGCGGCTTCGACTCAGATGGCCTGCTTGATCAATCTGGTAGTAGTGATCAGTGGTGGGACTTCTGGTCTTAGATGAATTAAACACAGTAAATGGTATGGAGGAAATGTATGCAAATAATCTTCGTTCTGTTTGGTAGGACTGGATAGAGACATGGAATGGTGAAAATTGAAATAGCTCAGCAGATTTATGAATTCAGATGCCAATGAATGTGTTTCTTCGTGATTTTGAGGATGGCAAACAGCGCACTTCAATTGATCCCCTCAATCTCACTGCAATACATTGTTGAGCACACTACCGCCTGTGTGTGCACGCACGCAAGAGAGAGAGAGAGAGAGAGAGAGAGAGAGAGAGAGAGTCCAGTTTATAGTAGTACATCTGTTACTTTGTATTCTCCCGGTTTATAGTAGTACATCTGCTACTTTGAATTCACCCAACACAATTATTTTAGCATATACTTAAAATATCAAGCAGCTTTTAAAAACATCATAGGTCCATGGCTGGGTATCACTTAACTTTGTTTAGCACAAAGATTGCAAGCTGGACCACCAAAATCATGAATAAAAGAGGCTCTTGTATTATTTCTAATGCAAGTTCTGATAGGAACTTCTAATCACTGACCGTGAGACTTCAACTCTAATTTCTGAGACGGCAAGTGATAGATTTTGTATGTGTGTTTGTGAACGTAGAACACGTATTCCTGTCATGCAAGGGGGCTAAAAATGACTCGTATCAACAGTTAGAAAGCAGGTAAAATTTAGTTCATCCACCACAACCCGAAAAGGAGCTAGTAGATTTTCTCAAATGTTGAAGCAAATATTAGAAATATTTCATTAACATGCTCAACCAAAAGGAGAACAAAAATTCAAATAAATACACAATTAGATGTGGTGCTCAGGCAATTCGGCAGCAGCATCACCTTAGGCCTACACAAGAAGTTACAAAAGGAAGGACAAGAGGTCACTCACTGCATCACCAATTGAAGATTTTGCTCAGAGGTTTAGACAACTGTGAATGTCAAAAAAATTTGGCGCCCGCCAAACAACTACCAACCCTAAACTGTTTACAAAAGATAAATTCAGCACAAGAGTTAAAAACATTTGGCAACATTTGGCAACAACAGTTTCAAGCAGATGTATCAAGTTCATGGGATTAAGTCAATACATTGAGTCTCAATGATTGACACGAAACCATATATAACTGCTTTCTGGAACCGTTGAGAAGAAACCAAAAGAAAACTGTTTCCAGGACTGGTGGCACTGGCAGCACAGAATGATGAAACAAATTTGAAATGAATAAAATAAAAGGAATTGGGGAGTTAAATTTCAAAAAAAAAAAAAAAATCTAAATTCTTTCTGTATTTCTACCATGGATCAGGTGTTACTGTTGCAGATGTGGCACAGAGTTGGGATCGGTCAACGGACCAGTCACCCTGGGGGGCCCACGATAAGTCCATCAACATCAATGGGAAGAAGCAGCTTTTTCCATAAACATCCTGTAGAGATGAGCTCTGGTGGCTGAACAATTGTGACAATGTCATTACTTCTATGCAACATTCCGATTACACTCACGACGCTGCCTTCCTTTACATACCTGCCAAAACTCATGCAAACTGCAGCTTATTAGCTTCTAAAAATCATGTCACAGAGTTTCAAATATTGGCCGTAACGTATCGTATCGTCCATTACGTATCAGGATTTTAAACTTCCAATATATATGACCGTATGGATGATACCAATCCATTTTCCGATACCATTATTTAAAACCATGTCAGATGCTGTGGAAAAAGCATGATACCAAGTTAGATGTGTTACCCTTCTTCTAGACGCAATAGACGGGCTTCAGCTGAGAGGTTTCTGTCTCTCAACCATTTCCTCAAGTGAGTAGATAGAGTGTTGCATTTTCTTGTAGTGGTAACAAGTCTGCTCTCGATGATAAGGGGAATCACTTTACAATCAGGTCCAGCTTTCACCAGAGCTCTAATACCTGACTTACTATCAGTTATGTAGAAGTCGGTGGAGAACCTCTGCCAGGAGAAAACCCTAGCACATCAATATTTATCTCCATCGTGACTTAAAACAAGTTTAAAAATTAGTAGATATGGTAGACCATGCTAAAAAAAATGAAACAAAACCCGACTAAAAACCCTACTAATGTAATTTTGAAATAAAAATATGCTATCAGTAAGTTTTTTTGAAATTGAGTGAAGAAGAGAAATAATTCACAACTCCGATTGCCACCACTGTTACGCTTCAGCATTACACCCCCCAACAACATCATCACCACTATTTTTTATTTTTATTTTTGATAAATAACAACATTATCACCACTATTACTGTCATGGCAGTCACCACTGTTACTTAAAACCTTGGTGTAGCTCGTAGAATGGGTAAACTTACGTTACTTGATCTTTATATATGATTTTAGTAGTTTTAGATGAGTTCAGATTGGTTTCCAAATTTGGGTCCTTTTGGAATCATAAATCTATCTAATTGTCATTCTTAGTTGCCATCTTTTTACTCAAAAATAAAACCATGTAAAATTCCTATACTTCAATAGAGAACATGCTTCAAGGGCATTTCATGAAACTTTGAAATTCTTTTTGAATTGTGCAATACAATTCTAAACTAGTTATGATACCTGTAGATTCTAGTTGTGATGCTTAGACTCTTCTTCTTTCTTTTTCGTCTTCTTCTTACTTTCCTGCACTTTTACACTTTAACATCGTATTCATCACTTTTTTCTACCTGTATTAAAAAAACAAAAAGATCCTATTGTCCAGCCCTAACCATTCCCTCTTCCACTAGTCAACCCTAAATCGAAAACTAACACAACCTGTTCATTTCGGTTCTGGGGTACTATTCATAGCCCCTGGGGCCTGGACAAGCCCAAAAGCTCTTGTATTCTTGATAGAGGTACTGCCAATTACAAACAAAGATAGAAAGTCAAATGTTGATTTATTAATGCAACAAGACGCAATGGCATCCCCATTAGGATAGCAACTTCAAGTTGAAAATATTTAAACAACAAAGATTGCAAATTGAGGTTAGAAGGATGAACATGATGCAACATATTCTTAATTAGGGCCATATGATTCCAGATAATGGTACGTGTAGAAGCATTGAAGTAGTTGAATAAGGACTCATTGTGTGTTGAGATGTTACCCATCAAGTTGAGTTTATTATCTGTAAGAATAAACTATCTTAAAGAATACCTAATAATTAATCATTTTTTTAAAACATAAATTGGACTTGAGGCTAAAATGGACAAAGAAACGATCTGACACCAGTTATCAACTTCAAGTAAATCCAACATATTTTCAATCAGAAATAGAAAGTGCTGAAGTCCATTGGTACAATAGAAGAATTTACATACCTCAGAATATGCTAATCTCCACTGGAAGCATGCCCTGCTATCATCAACAGGCTTCAATCCCAATTCTCCATATTCATACAAAACAGTAGAAGTATAAATACATCTAGAAGCCTTTTCATATGAAGATTCTAGGGAGGCACTACCACACATGACAATCTGAAAGCATCCGAAAAGGAAAATGCAATTAGCTTATTAATAACTAGACTAGAACGGCAAATATTATCTACTATGAGCGTAAAGCGCATAATGGATAAACAAACAAAGATCAAATAATAGTGCACATGAGATTAAGAGGGATGAATTTTCATGCGAGAGTTATATCCTCGAAGGAATAGAAGTAACTGCATAATCAGCTTGTAGACCCATGTTAAGCGATTATATTTTCTTTTTTTCTGGTTACGACATTAAGCAGTATGAATGCTATTTGAAGTTTAAATAACAGGTTTGTTTTGCAGAAGGAATTTCAAGGTCCGTTTTCATTACAGTACCCCAAAAAATGGCAAGACATGACTGTCAGTATTCTTGTTACCAAACATCTAAAACAATATTTTGCTGCTCTTTTTGCTTCTGGAAACAACAGAGGTAGAAAATAAAAGGAAGTCCCATCTTTCTTTTGAAAAAAGAAAAAGAAGCAAGGATGTAGGAAAGAAAAGATTGCTAACAATGCACGAGGAGAAAAAAAGAAAAAAGAGGTCATTTTACAATTTACAATATGTTTTGTGATGTAATGTTATTGCAATTTCCGTAGACAAAATGTAGACTAAGGTGTCTAGGTTGAGAGTATAGTCCATGATAGAAGACTTTCAGAGAATGCAATTGTGGTTCCAAGTAGTCATTGAGTATAATCGTATTTTAGCATATTGCAATAATCTAGGCCACGACTTTATTTGATAAAATTGAGTCAGAATGACCTGGACTTAATCAAGCATGTTTGTAACTATCAAACTGTGGAAAAATCATGAGTTCTGGATAAAAAAAAGTGCCCCTTGAAGGTCACTCAAGCAAAAGGCCTATAAATCTGTAGAGACACCCACTCAAAGGGCTTTTGAGGGGGCTTCACTAATCTCTACATAATGAGATCTAGATAAGGCAACTCGAAGTCCGCCCAATATGCACTCCAGTGGCTTGTCGATTTAAGAAATTTGGGATTTTATTCTTTGACAAAAACTATAATTTGGGCAATACTAATTTGATTTCAACAGGTCCAAAACTTTGTGGTTGGCTCAACCTCCTTCGAATTTCAAAGTTTTCGTAACTATCACCTATATAAACAAAATGAAGAAAAAACTAAATAAGGTTTTGGACCTAAGCTTTTAAGTTATTATTCAATTTGTGTTTTCTAAAAATCCCACACACTCGCACCTTTGCAATCTTGCATTGGTGCTTGGCCAAATGTTGTTCGGACTTGGTTTGCAAAGAAATGAGCAATCCGTTGTGGGAACCTTGCTTGGTTGATTGTGCAACAGTGGTTGGAGTTGCACACAACAGAGATCGGAATGAGGAGTCCGTGATTCTGTAGACCAAAATCAAGAAAATGCCTAGGAGCATCAGATCTCCTGGTGTTTGGAGATCGAACAAGGAGTTCACAGAGACAAGATGTTAAGAGTAAAATGCATCAGGCTGGGTTATAACTCATTTCGTCTTGAATTTTGTATGATCTAGTGAATTATTCACACCAGAAGAATGCCTATAGTTTTTCCTTAGGGGTTGTTGTCTCTAGGATTTTCCACAAAAAATTGTCTCTTTTACTTTACTTCAATTTGTGTGGTTGCCATTATTAACGAATATTGATTGGTATTGTGAATTGTATCGAATGTCATATTATTGTTGAATTGAATTTTAAGTTTTACGAGTAAATTTGATTTTAAAATTGACCAGAAACTACCTAGCGTTTGGCTTATTCACCCTCCTCTGGGCACAAAGTTGTCCGTCTCCACTATTTCACAATGCACAAGGGGCAAAAAAGATTATAACCATTCTCATATATTTCCTCTCATATTCCGAGGGAACCAAAAGATTTGGAGACAGTTGGTCTAGGTAATGAGTTGGACATGGTTAACCAAAGGAAAATTTTCATTACATGGTGATGAAATAATGAGAATTTTAGAGCACGCAAACAAACCCTAGAAATGAAATTGAGCACACAGAGAGAGAGAGAGAGCGGACCCCAGTGATCTTGACAAGGTGGGCGTGAGGAGCGAAGCTGAGGTCGGAGTCGGGGAAGGAATATATTAAAAAAATAAAATAAAATAAAAAAGTATGCAGACATTGAGACAAATTTCTGGATAATTTAATCATGATAATTTACCCAAAAACTATTCAATATCAGTATTCAAGAAAAAGTTGACAACTCCAGGTGTCACTAAATCAATTTTGAATTCAAGCACCCTTATAATATAAAACTTAAAAAATAAAAACTGAATAAATGCAAAAAAACACCAACTTGTCAATTAGCCATTTAAGGGACAAATAGCTGCTCAGGAATGACAGAGCAAATACAAGTAAAAATAAAACAAGCAAAATTCAGCGATAATTTCAATCAAACAACTTCAAATTCATAATAATAATAATAATAATAATCATGAAATTGGTGATGAAATAATGAGAATTTTAGAGCACGCAAACAAACCCTAGAAATGAAATTGAGCACACACAGAGAGAGAGAGTACGGACCCCAGTGATCTTGACAAGGTGGGCGTGAGGAGCGAAGCTGAGGTCGGAGTCGGGGAAGGAATGAAGGTAGAGAAGGAGGTCAGCTTTTCGTCTCCAGTTGAGAGTGTTCCAGAGGAGGAATGAGGCGACGAGTGAGGAGAGAGAGAGGAGACAGAGGAAGAAGGCGGCGTTGTGAACAACCACAAGGATGAAAATGGAGAGAAAGAGGCCGAGGAGGAAGAGAAGGACGAGGACCAAGATTGCTACTCTTGGGATTGGTTTACAGCTCCAACAATGCCGCTTCTTATCCTGCTCTCTCAAAGCATTCGACAGGTCGTTCATCTCTCTCTCTCTCTCTCTGCCTCCCCTGCTACTTTCCACTCTGCTTTGAAATCGCTAAACCAGAGAGAGAGAAAGAGAGGAGTGAGGGTTTTGGGAAGTGTAATTTTCCTGGGGGAGACTTTTGGAAGTGAATGATTTAGAGAAAGAAAAGTGATTAACAACTTTAAAATTAGAATTTTAGCTCAAGTAATATATAATAATATACTATAGAAAAAAAAAATACAAAAAAATAAATATAAATATCATATTATATGAATCAACCCGCTGATATCTTCACTAAGGCTCATCCTCCTGGCCGCTTTAATGATCTTGTTTCCAAACTCAACTTGGTAGATGCTTTCCCTCCTTGAGTTTGCGGGGGGATGTTAATATAATATTGTTAATTGTATAGCTTTCTTGCTAATTGTATAGCTGTCTCTTTTCCTTTCTGCTTTCGGTGGTAATGGATCATCATTTGGTATCCAATGTACATTTCTTCTCTCTATAAAGAGAAAGTTCATTTCTCTTGTAATTACAGAACACACAATACAGAAACATTTTTGCTCTCTAGCTTCTCTCACTCTTTGCTCTCTAGCTTCTCTCTCAAACAAATCTTTCATATACAAAATTTCCAATCAAATGTCACAATTACATTTTTATACATTGGAGAAAAAAAACAAGCTTGCCAGCCATGATTTGAGTCAAAAGGCTTGATCTAGGCTTGCATAGGTTGCAGTAGCTTCAAAACTTAATGATGGGGGAGTAAGATGGTGCGAGTCTTACAATTTAAATTCTATCATCTATATCTATATTAAAAAAACAAAAAAACAAATAAAGAGGTTAAGAAAATCAAACAATATGTTTAATAATTTAACCAAAATATTTATGTGTGGTTTGAGTTTAATTCTGTATAATGAAACCTATGTTTGAATTTAATCTCAATTATGAAATGTTGTTTCAAAGTATTTTTTTTGAATAAATTTTTTGAGTAATTAACATTATTGATATATATATATATATATATATATATAGGAAAATGTCTGGGGTCCCTTCCCATTGGTCCAAAAAAATTATTTTTCTTTTTTTTTTTGTTTTCAGCCAATGAGAGGTTGACACGTCACTGGGGGTGCCACTGGGAGTCGGAAGCATTGTTGATATATATATATATATATATGGAAATAATATAATAAAATAAAAAGAAAGAAAGATGGACCAATTAACTTTAGTAGCTTGTTTTTTTTTTTTTTTTGTTTTGGGCAAAGAATGCAATAAAATTGTACAAATTTCTACCAGCCGAAGCTAAAGTGCTCCCATATTGTTCAACTTTTCTTTTGAAACTTTCATCCAATGATATAATTTTAGACAAAAGCATAAGAGATAAGCTTTTGTTGATTAAATTTTTGATGGGTTTAGCATCTTTGAAGAAAAGTAAAGTTTTTAAAAAGGACTCATTACTTGAGTAGTTGTGTGTATTTTGAAAAAAGAAAATACAGCACATCTCACAAATTTAACATAATTATATGTTAATTATAAACTAATTAGAAATAATCTAGTTGACTACCATACCTTCCCTAAGACTTAGTCTATAGGAAGGTCATGAATTCAACTCCTTTTAGGATATTAATCTAACAACTAATATTTACTGATAAAATTTTTTTTTACCATAATTATAATGTACCCCTTTGCTATTGTTTTTCAAATAACACTTAATCTCCTGTTCATTATCTATTCCTTAATCGGATAATTCCTGATAGCTCAAATAATTGGCTCGACTTTTGGCTCGAATCTGTAAAACGACGTCGTTTTACATTTTTTTTTTTCCCTTTCTTTTTCTTCCTTTTCTTTTCTTCTTTTCTTCTTTTCTTCTTCGTCTTCTTCGTTGAAACCAGGAACAGAGGGGAAGAGGAGAGAGGGAGCTCCCCCGTCTCCGCCCGTCGTCCCCGTCGCAGCACGCCGCCGATCGTCGCAGCACGCCGCAGCTCCGCGCAGCCCCGCCTCCGGCCCCGACTCCTCCTCCAGCCATTTTTATGGCCCCCTCCCCTCCCTCCCCCTTCCTCCTCCACCTCCTCCTCCCTCCTCCTCCGACTCCGACTCCGACTCCGATGAATTCGAGCTACGAATCATCGCCGCTATCCTTCCGCTTCCTCCTCCTCCTCCTCCCTCCTCCTCCGACTCCGACGAATTTGAGCCAAATTCGAGCCTCGAATTCGAGCTACGAATCATCACCGTCCTTAATCGTAAAGATAAAAATAATAATAATAATAATTTTATCATCTTTTTTAACACTGAGAATTGCGTACTTTATCATTGACCATCTCTGCCGCAATAATTTAGTTTGCTTTAACTTTATTAAAATAAAATTAGTGTAATCACACCAAACTTCGAAGACTCCTGGTATATTTTCTAAACTTTTAAGGTGATCATTTTAGGCTTCGTTTGGTAAGCCTTAGTTGAGACTTTTTTGATTATTTTAATCATAAAAAATAAAATAAATTTTTAATTCAATAAAACAAAACATCTTATTTAACTCATAATCATTCCATTCTTTCTTTCACAAAAAAATCAAAAAAATCAAAAACCTTCCCAAACTAAATTTTTAAATCCCAAGCTAAAATAATAAAAAAATCCAAAAAAGCAATCCCCTCCCCAATCGAAGGCTTAATTTACCCTTAAATTTAACAAAAACAAGAACCATCAACAAAAACAAGAACCATCAACACTATTTGATAGGATTTAAACCCACACCCTTCCAGACCAAAGCCTAAAATCTCAGAAATTGTAACTCACCCTACCACGAAAACAAAATATATCCAACCAAGATGAAACTAATTAGGCAATAAAACCCCATATTTCCACACCACACCACCACTGCACTGCACTGCACTCCATAAAACAATTACTGGGAAATGTGCTTTGATTTCATGATATAATAAACACACCAACAATATGCCGTATTGTTGAACACAAAAAACCATACTAGCAAATCATTATAATTCTGCAAAATAATATCTAAACAAACCAAAAATAGTTAATGGTCCATCATAGCCACTACAAGCAGACAGCGGTTTTAAAAACTTTAAATTCCTACAAACAGTCAGGATGCCATAGAACAAACAAATCAATGCAACTAGCTGATAAAAAGCTTCAAATCATATCTACTTGATCTTCTTCTTTGGCCTCAACTGCAATTCAAATATCAAAAAACAATTAATATGTAAGAAAGTTCAGCATGCTTAATCAAAAAGGGTGCATTTGTGATTGATATTATAAATAATAAAAAATATGCCATGAGTTAAAAAAATAAAAAATAAAACAGTAGTAGAAGAACCTGGTTGCTGTGTCCACACTTTTTCTTCCTGCAGTTAACAGCACGGGGATGGAGGCGAGCATAACACCTGAAACAATCAAGTAAAACATGTAAATTTGAAACATGAATTGTCATCACCATCAGAGAGTTGTGTCACACAAGTTAAAAATCAATATGGTGGTTACTGCATCTAATGTTACCATAGACACACACCAGATAACAAACTTTAGCCTCAAATGAGTGGGATTCAGAGTGATGGTTTTGAACTCCCAACTAATCATCAATTTAAAGAGAGCAATGTAAGATCTACCAACCACTAATCCGAGGCTGAACAAAGAGTGCATCAGGACCATATGTTCAGATGTTTGTACTGTTTCAGGAATGTTGGTCCAGTACTAAAATTCAGCACTAAATCAAGTAAGAAATTTCCAAAGAAATTTGGAGCCAGCATTAAATCAACTAGAAATGTTCTACAAATTGACTAGGAATGTTAGGCCTGGCAATAAAACTTCAGGAATGTTGGACCCAGCATTAAAATTGAGCAATACAAAATGGGATAGTTAAGTAGAAATTTCCTCACAATCTACCACATGAATAAATTGTGCCTTCGCACCATCAAGTGGAAAGCAACAGTACAGATCACAAATTGCTTTCAAAAGGATAACCTAAAAAAAGGCATGAAACCCACATAAAAAAGCCGGGGTTAAGGAGGAGGGTTGTGTGTTAAGTAGCCGACAGCCAACACGTAAAAAAGCCGCTCGGATCCCTTATGAAAATGAATCCTACTTTGAATCGTTTAAATGCTAGGTCGTTCCCCTCAAGTGACGCGTTGCGCCTGCCTCCGGGTGTTTCGAAAAGTGAGCAAGGGGCGCCGCATCGACGCCTGGATGCGGTGAAAAATGGGCAAAGATTTCCGTGTTTTTTTGGATGAGCGCGGGTAAAGAAGCTAGTCCAAGACTATAGGTTTAGGGTAGCCACTTGGAACATAGGAATCTTAACTTGTAGGACGATGGAATTGGTAGATGTTATGATTAGGAGGAGAGTTAGTATAGCTTGCATACAAGAAACTAAGTGGATGGGAGAGAAAGCTAAGGAAATTGAGGATACTGGTTTTAAACTTTATTATAGTGATAAGGATAGACGCAGGAATGGGGTAGGAATCATAATTGCCAAGGGTCTTGTGGAAAGTGTAGTGGCGGTCACTACGAAAGGAGATAGGATTATGCTAGTTAAACTAGTTATTAGAGGGAATATAGTGAACATTATTAGCGCTTACGCCCCTCAAGTAGGGTTAGATGATCAGACTAAGAGGGATTTTTGAGAGGAGATACCCGTAGGAGAGAACCTGATTATACGTCGAGATTTTAATGACCATGTGGTATAGATAAACTAGGTTATGAAATAGTGCATAGTTGATTTTGGTGACAGAAATGAGGCTAGAGAGAAAATCTTATATTTTGCGTTGGCTTCTGACCTGGTGGTGGCCAATACTATGTATAAGAAGAGAGAGGAGCATTTGATAACCTTTAAAAGTGGATTAGTTAAGAGCTAAATAGATTACTTCTTAGTGAGAAAAGTGGACTGCCTAAAATGCAATGATTGTAACGTGATTCCTGAAGAGAGTCTGGTCTCTCAACATAGGATTTTGATACTAGATTTATGTTTTAGAGGGCGATACCAAGCTAGGAAGGATGGTGGGCGTCGTAGGACGAGATGGTGGGACCTAAAAGGGAATAAACTAGAAATGTTTAAGAATCGAATGGATAAGGAAGGTACTTGGGACTTAGAAGGTGATGCTAACACTATGTGGAATTGGATGGCCAATTGTATGAGGAGAATCTCAAGGGAAGTGCTTGGAGAGTCGAAAGGAACGGGACCCAGCTCTAGGGAAACTTGGTGGTGGAGGGAAGAGGTTCAAGCGGTAGTTAAGGCAAAAAAAGAGTGCTTTAAAAAGTGACAGAAGGATAGAACTGAGGTAAACCTTAAGAGCTATAGATTGGCTAATAAGACGGTCAAGAAAGTAGTGAGAGAGACTAAGTTGAAAGTTTATGATGACCTATACACTAGACTAGATAGTAAGGAGGGAGAGAAGAGGGTATACAAACTTGCTAAGATACAGGAGAGGAAAACAAGAGATTTTAATTAAGTGAAGTGCATCAAGAGTGAGGATTCTAAAGTATTGATGAAGGATGATGAGATTAAGGAAAGATGGAAGAATTATTTTGAGAAACTGTTAAATGAGGAACATGGAAGTACGACAATAGAGGAAGAAATAGCTAGTAATACGATAAACCAAGACTATAGGTTCTATCGCAGGATTAGAAATTTTGAAGTGGAGATTGCACTTAAGAAGATGAAATCAAATAAGGCTTTAGGACCTAATGATATCCCTATTGAAGCTTGGAAGTGTTTGGGTAAAAAGGGAGTTGCTTGGTTGACTAGGTTGTTTAGCAAAATTTTGTTGACTAGGAACATGCCAGATGAGTGGAGGAAGAGTATTTTAGTACCAATCTATAAGAATAAAGGTGATGTCCAGAATTGTAACAACTATAGAGGAATCAACAAACTTTACATATTGAATGATTCGAATTATCGAAATGATATCTGTTGTGAGCCCCTACGGGTCCAATTGTATGAGGAGAATCTCAAGGGAAGTGCTTGGAGAGTCGAAAGGAACGGGACTCAGCCCTAGGGAAACTTGGTGGTGGAGGGAAGAGGTTCAAGCGGTAGTTAAGGCAAAAAAAGAGTGCTTTAAAAAGTGGCAGAAGGATAGAACTGAGGTAAACCTTAAGTGCTATAGATTGGCTATTAAGACGGTCAAGAAAGTAGTGAGAGAGACTAAGTTGAAAGCTTATGATGACCTATACACTAGACTAGATAGTAAGGAGGGAAAGAAGAGGGTATACAAACTTGCTAAGATACGAGAGAGGAAAACAAGAGATTTTAATTAAGTAAAGTGCATCAAGAGTGAGGATTCTAAAGTATTGATGAAGGATGATGAGATTAAGGAAAGATGGAAGAATTATTTTGAAAAACTGTTAAATGAGGAACATGGAAGTACGACAATAGAGAAAGAAATAGCTAGTAATACGATAAACCAAGACTATAGGTTCTATCGCAGGATTAGGAACTTTGAAGTGGAGATTGCACTTAAGAAGATGAAATCAAATAAGGCTTTAGGATCCGATGATATCTCTATTGAAGCTTGGAAGTGTTTGGGTAAAAAGGGAGTTGCTTGGTTGACTAGGTTGTTTAGCAAAATTTTGTTGATTAGGAGCATGCCAGATGAGTGGAGGAAGAGTATTTTAGTGCCAATCTATAAGAATAAAGGTGATGTCTAGAATTGTAACAACTATAGAGGAATCAAGCTAATGTGTCATATAATGAAAGTGTGGGAGAGGGTGATGGAACGCCGATTGCGAGACATAACAGAGGTGTCAGAGAATCAATTTGGGTTTATGCCTGGTAGGTCAACAATGGAAGCGATCTATCTTTTGAGGAGAGTAATAGAAAAGTATAAAGAAAAAAAGAGAGACATTCATATGGTGTTTATCAACTTTGAAAAAACATATGATAGAGTGCCCCGAGATATAATATGGTGGGTGTTAGAGAAGAAAGGGGTGACAAAAGGCTACATTGATGTGATTAGGGACATGTATGAAGGGGTGGTGACTACTATTAGATCGCTAGCTGGAGAGACAAATGAATTTCCTATCATTGTAGGGTTACACCAAGAATCTATCTTAAATCCTTATTTTTTTGCTTTAGTTATGGACAAGTTGACGATAAATATTCAGGATGACGTGCCATGGTGTATGCTTTTTGCAGACGATATTGTGTTAATGGATGAGACTAGAAAAGGAGCTAACACAAAGTTGGAGATTTGGAGAAAAGCTCTTGAATCTAAAGGATTCCGGATAAGCAGAACTAAGACAGAATACATGAAGTATAAATTTAGTAACAGTATCAATGAAAGCAGAGGAGAAGTGAAGATTGAAAACCAAGAACTGCCTAAGAGTGAACATTTTCGTTATTTAGGGTCAATTATCACAACAGCGGGAGAGATTGATGCAGATGTGGCCCATAGGATTAAGTGGGATGGTGTAAGCGGAGAAGTGTGTCTGGGGTATTGTGCGATTAACGAATATCCACTAAACTAAAAGGTAAGTTTTATAGAACGGCTATTAGACCAGCTATGTTGTATGGGACGGAGTGTTGGACAACCAAAAAACAACATGTAGATAAGATGAGAATGGCTGAGATAAGGATGCTAAGGTGGATGTGTGGTAAGACTAAACAAGACAGGATTAGGAATGAGTGCATTCGGGAATGGGTAAGAGTAGCACCGATAGAAGATAAGTTGAGAGAGAATCGTTTGAGATGGTTTAGTCATATTCAACAGAGACCAACAGAGGCAGTAGTGAAGAGATACGATGCTGCAACGGTAGATGAAAGTGTTAGAGGACGGGGTAGGCCTAGATTAACGTTGACTAGCGTTATAAATAGAAATATGAATCTACTTAATTTGATTAATGAAATGGCCTTTAATAGGGTTACGTGGAGAAGAAGGATTCATGTAACCGACCCCATTTGATGGGACTTAAGGCTTAGCTTGGTTGGTTTAGCATCCACAATTGATAACAATTAAAACTAATAATCTCAAAACTTCATGGACAACAATTTGAGAAGAAGTATAGCATAACATCTTCATCAAATTAGACTTAAACACTGACCATTGACTAATTGTCATAAAAATCTACTTTTTGGATTCAAATTAGAAATATGATGCAAACAAACTTATCAAATTTCAAATTTCATACCAAAAAAACAAAAACCATATCCAAAGAAATGAAACAATCACATAAAAAACGTACTTGCGGCAAATCATCTTGTCCTGGTTGTACTTTCGCGCCAACGCCATCAATGACGGCTCAATAATCCCACCGCGAAGCCTAAGAACCAGATGCAGTGTTGACTCTACACAAATTCCAATTCAGAATCCATTCATTCATCCCCAATTCACCTATACATACTCACCTACACACACACACACACACATATACATATATATATATATAATTTTTTTTTTTTACCTTTCTGGATATTGTAGTCGGCGAGAGTACGGCCATCTTCAAGCTGTTTTCCGGCGAAGATCAGTCGCTGCTGGTCCGGTGGAATACCTAACATGTTATTAAACGATCTTCGATTCAATCATGGAAAAAACATAGCAAAAAAAAATACTTTGTAATTCAAATGTTAGAAGATTGATTGGATCACGAAATGAGATCAAGAGTACCTTCCTTGTCTTGGATCTTAGCCTTGACATTGTCGATGGTGTCACTCGATTCGACCTCCAGTGTGATCGTCTTCCCGGTTAGGGTTTTCACGAAAATCTGCATTTTCTCTCTCTTCGCGGCGCTCTCTCTCTCCCTCTCTCTCAGCTGAGAACCTAATCTTTAAACGGGACTTAAAACTAGGGCTTCATTTGTGTATTGTATGGGCTTCTATGGAATTTGCTTTGTATTGTATGGACTTTACCAGCTAGCCTTGGGGGTTTCTATTTGCACACACAATATACACTTTTATTACATTTTTTTTATTTTCTAACAATTTCATCAAATTTAAATAGAAAAATCCTTGTTGAAAATTTGGTAAAAGATTTAATTCATTCTTAATTTGATAAAAAAAAATTACTTCTCTCTTGATTTGATACAAGTTTGACAAAAGGATTGGACCTTATTTTTATCAAATAAATTTGATGATAGATTTAATAAAAGACTGGTGATACTCTTATAAGCCATTTTTCTTATTTTAATTGCTAGGTTCCAAATTTATTTTCTTTTCATCCACAATTCTTTACAATGCTCCAAACACAACCTTAACCCCTATACAAATTTTGAGTGAATTTAAAAGCGATTTTGTGCTAATACAAATATAGAAATGAATCAGATAATAGCTGCAAAAGGCACACAATCATAAATAAATAGGTCATAACAATGACAAAAGCCTTTTTGTGTATATTTTTGACAATCGGTAGAAGAGGAATTGGAAAATAAAAAATAAAATTGCATAGCACAGCGAAGGATTCCAATTTAGGCATCAAGCTCAATTAAAAAAGCGTCTCACCCTGTAGGCTAATAGTTTATCTTTGTTGTGAAATATTTGTATAATCATCGGAAGGGATGTAATTAAAATTCTAATAAGTTTTTGGGTCAAAGTAGAAATATGGAATAGTTTTACCATATTGGAGGTGTGGTATGTCATGTGGTAAATCACATGGTATGATGAATAGTAAGAGTTTTATTATCTATAAATAGGTGAGTTTACATGGTAATGAAAAAAAAAAAAAAAAAAAAAAAAAAAAAAAAACTCTTTAATTCCTCTTCTATTGTAGCTATTTCTTCTTTATTTTCTTTAGTTTTATAACACGTTATCAGTACGAGATTCTGACCAACTAAAAAGGAAAAGTGAAATCACATACAAATAAGGTTGTTGTGGTTTTTCTACAAAGTGTTTAAGGTAAGTATAAATAAATTCTGAATAAATATTTTATAAGAGCAGTTCATGATAAGGCTAATTCTATATTTTTCTTAATGTATTCACGTAATACTAAATATATTATTATTGTTATGTTTAGTGCACAAATATGTCAAATTCTTAAAAATCAGAATTCATAGGTCTTGATATTTCGAAAAATTTATTTATCTTGGATGTTTGATGTTGAGATCCACCTTGAGGCAATGAATCTTGGAGATACAATTAAAAATGAAAATGAAGTATCCCTAAAGGATCGCGCAGAGGTAATGATATTCATTCGCCACTATCTCCAATAAGAATTAAAACTAAATACCCTACAATAACAGATTCACTATTTTTGTTTGATAATTTAAAGGAGAAATACGAGTACCAGAAGACTGTAAGCTTCTCAAAAAGCTTCCTATAATTGATTGCACTTGAAGTTGCAAAATTATGAATCAGTTAGTGAGTACAATTTATAGAATATATGTTGAAATATTCACGCTGATAATATGCTCCTATAGTAGCAACATAAAGAGCGTTGATCTACAAAATACTCTAAACTAATTTCATGCCTTCTTATGGCTGAACAAACTAAGCAACTTTTATTGAAAAATCATCAATCCCGTCTCACTAGCTCTATTCCATTCCCTGAAATGAATGAGGTTGCATTTCATGATTGTGGACAAGAGAGAAGTCATGGTTTTAGACATGATTGGGGTAAAATTATAGAAGCCGTAGGCACATGTTTAGAAATATTTGAGCAAAAATATCATGCCATTCCACCTGAAGTGGAATAATCTTGAGATATCACATAAAAAAGGGCAAAAATAATGTATGTATGTTTGCATGTATTCATGTTGCATATGCATGGTGCATATTGCATAGCAAATAAATCTATTAGAAAATAAAGTGATTACTATGCATAAATAATTATTATTCATCTTTTTTCACCCATAAGTTCACTATTCATCATTGTGCATTCTTTTAACAATTTTCTCAAAATACTATTCATCAACAGTATTTTACTATTGAAAATCTTTTTCACTTGGAGTGTCTTCCTTCTAGATAACAAGTCTTAATAAAAGAAAAAAATAAAAGATTATTGGTAATGGAAATATTCACATTGATTTTTGAATAATATATTTGTTTTAGTTATATTTTTAAAATTTATATTTTCCTGATTGATCATGTTTTGAAAATGATGATTAGCTATCTACATACATGGATTGTATTGATGTATTGATTAATTCTAATATGTTAAGTAAAATATTAATTTAGTAGACAGTATAAAGACACCTATAATTCTTTGCAATGAAAAACATTTGACGATAACAAAAACTAATGTAAAATCTCAAGTTCATCAAACTTGATTGAAAACTCTAAAAGAGCCGATATTATAATTATCAAATAGAATCAAATTTGATATTGATGAAGTATGTTCTACTAGATCCAGAATAAATTTGTTAAATTTTAAAAATATATGTCGTATTGGTTATTGAAACCATAAATAAAGGTAAAGAGGAATATCTATATAATACTTCTACTGAAGTTACTTGATATTCATATGAATTGTATTATACAGTAATAAAAGCAATTAAATCAAATGTTGAGATACACCAAAAGTGCTCAAACTTAATGCATCAGAAGTGTTATAATCTAAAAAGCGTTCATGTTAGGGCATGATTACCCTGAGCATCCGGGATCCATAAGAATTTAATGAATTATTATAAATTCAAATAGGACATCCATTAAAGAACCAGAAGATTCTTTTACCAAGAGATTATTTATCAAGTGATTATCCACACTCTGTCTGTTCACTGGAAAAATTAATTATTAGACTATCCCATTCATATCAATATGGACTATTCGTTATTTCATGATTTTGATAGATATATTAACTAGATAGTTTCATTCGTAACACAACTTTTAATGATTATTACATACATGTTGGTATTGATATCAAACGTCCCGCTGCCTATGCTTATACTCAAAATGATATAGTTTAATATTTAATTAAATGGTTTTAGTTGATTGCTCAACCTTTGCTTATGAAAAATAAATTACTTATTTCAGTACGGGGTCATGCTAGAACAACTGTATACATGAGTACTCACCATTATATCTTGAATTTGGTCAACCTTCAAATATTATTTATTTGGAATGTTTGGTTATGCTGTATATGTTTCTATTGCAAATGGGTCCTCAACGTAAACTTGGAGTTTATGTTAGTTTTGATTCTCTATTTATTATTAGATATCTTGAATCCTTAACATGCGATGGATTTAGAGCATGTTTTGAGAATTGTCATTTTGATGAAACAGTCTTCCCATCATCAGGGAGAGAAAAGTTGCAGCTTGAAACTCGACATGAAATCACTTGAAATAATTCGATGTTATATTATCTTGATCCTTACACTAATCAATGTGAACTAGAAGTTTAAAAGATTATTTATTTGCCAAGTATAAGCAAATCAATTACTGGATGCCTTGACCGACACTAAAAATATAATAAAATCCTATATTCTAGCTGCTAATGCTCCAACAAGAATTGATGTTCCTGAAGGACAATCTGTTGGTATAGTTGTAAATCTATCTAATCTAAGTCTCGCCAGAAGCATGGTATACTTGTCGGTGCAAGAGATGAAGTTTTTAAAAGAATAAGACAATTAGTATTTCTGAAAAGATCATATTTAGCGTTCTTGGAGAAACTATATCTGCGCTCCTGAAGAGGTGCTCTAGAAGAGACTATACCTAGTACTCTTGAAGAGGCTAAACCCACAAAAAAATCTTAGTGCTCCTAGAGAGGCTAGACCCACAAAACAGACTATTATAATAAATCTATCTAAATCTCCTACTTATAAACCTCCTGAAGCAGAACCTCCAGAAGAAGAATCTTTTGAAGAGTTATCCCTTGAAGTACAAAGCTCCTGAAGAGTTATCCTTTAAAGTGGAAAAGGTACCTAAAAATAATGAGATCTCAATACATTATATAAGTACAAGAAATATTTGTGATAGAAATTAAACTATTGTCGACGACATGTTTTCGTTTGAAGTTGCTTTTGATATTACCAGAAGTAGTGGTGAAACCATTACCAGATGATAATAATAAACCACAAACCGTCGAAGAATGACGACGTAGAAATAATTGGCCAATGTGGAAAGAAGCAATACAAGTAGAATTAAACTCGCTTACAAAAATGTGAAGTATTTGGACCTGTAGTCTAACTATAAGAACTTGAATTTTTAGACAACTAATTAGTTTGTTAATAATAATATTAAGTCAATTAATAGTGATTATTAAATTATAATGTTAATAGCATCATGATTAATACCAATATTATACTCCTTTAAATAAATTTATTTATCTTTATGTGATTAAATTTCTGTGTCTAAATACAGTCGTAGAAACTAAATGATTTAAACAAATAATAACTAAGTTAGTTGGAGGATAGTAGGAAGCAAAATATCTAGTGACTAGGTTATATATATACATTGATTTTTATTTTTTGTACACACTAAAAAAAAAATAAATTCAAAATTCATATTTTTGGGCAGAGCATTTCGGTTGCCTTTTCTTCCCAAGAAGGCTGCTGTCAAGGCATGCATAAAAACATACTCTAAGCCTATACATGTAGGTAATATTTCCCAAGCCAAGAGGGAAAAAAAATAAAAATAAAAATAAAAGGGTAAATTATAATTTAACTCCTTGTGGTTTACCCAAAAAACACGAAGCCACCCTATAATTTCATTTGTAACACTTAAACCCCTAAACTTCATACCAAAGTGCAATTTCAAACAGAGCTATTTGTTTCAACAGAGCGTGTGTTGTACGACCATAAAACCAAAATTTCCCTCTCAACCACACTGGTTAATTCCTGATCTTCTTCTTCTTCCCAAGTTTTTAAAAAACAAGGACGTTGCTTGTCTCTCTAAAATGCTTCTCTCTCTCTCTCTCTCTCTCTAGTTTATCTCCCTAATTTCT